AAATTAAAGATAAATCCAAATGCATCCCTCTAGTAACAGCTTTCAATACTACTCTACCGCCACTATCCCAGATAATCCAAAGCCACTGAGAAATACTACTCTACCTCCATTATCCCAGATAATCCAAAGCCACTGGGAAATACTACTCTACCTCCATTATCCCAGATAATCCAAAGCCACTGAGAAATACTACTCTACCTCCACTATCCCAGATAATCCAAAGCCACTGAGAAATACTATTCTACCTCCATTATCTCAGATAATCCAAAGCCACTGGAGATACTACTCTACCTCCATTATCCCAGATAATCCAAAGCCACTGGGAAATACTACTCTACATCCATTATCCCAGATAATCCAAAGCCACTGAGAAATACTACTCTACCTCCACTATCCCAGATAATCCAAAGCCACTGAGAAATACTATTCTACCTCCATTATCTCAGATAATCCAAAGCCACTGGGAAATACTACTCTACATCCATTATCCCAGATAATCCAAAGCCACTGAGAAATACTACTCTACCTCCATTATCCCAGATAATCCAAAGCCACTGAGAAATACTACTCTACCTCCATTATCCCAGATAATCCAAAGCCACTGAGAAATACTACTCTACCTCCACTATCCCAGATAATCCAAAACCACTGGTAAATAATAAATCTCAAACCAAACCTAAAATCTTTGTTTGAGGAGCCCGCCTTGTTAGCATATCTTAGACCAAAGACCTTAAGGAAATCATTGGCGGAAACCAAATTTCAGACGAAAAAGACCAAGAATAAAAACAATAGGATTTTCACAACCATGTAACAACAAAGCGGGCCTATGTTGTAACCACATTAAACACACCAATCCATGCACTAACTCAATCATTGACACTACTTTCAAAATCTACCCCAAAATGTTCTTCATCACCGACCTCCCGACCTTCCCGATGTTATCACTTCCCAAGTAGGCATCTACGCGAACGACACCGCTATCTACTCCTGCCTCAATAGTAAATCTGTTATCGTTGACAAAACTAACCTGGCTTCCGGTCTCGAAAAGGACTTTCAATCTGTGGTTGACTGGGGCAGGAAATGGCTTGCAAACTTTAATGCCTCCAAAACGAAACTACTCTCATTCAACCACCACAGAGAACTCTCCCTGCCTTCTATCAGAATGGCTGATGCCCCAACTCCACGAGAACGACTCATTGCTCCTGCTTGGTCTCACGCTGTCCGCTGACCTGAAGTCGAACAAATACATTGAATCAATAGCTTCATCTACCGCAAGGAAAGTTGATTCTCTGTGTCGTGCCAGAAGTTTTTTCTCGTCTGAGTCCATTCTTCAAATCTATAAATCAACCATCCGTCCTTACATGGAATATTGCTGTCATATATGGTCTGGCGCTCCCGTTTAAGTCTCGGGGTCCTCGACAAAATCCAGAGATGAATATGCAATGTGATAAGTCCTGATATGGCATCTAGTCTACAGTCACTTTGTTACGGACGTGTCGTGGCTTCCCTCTGTCTCTTCTATAAGTATTTTCACGGCAACTGTTCCGACAAGTTGTTTTCTCTGATTCCTAGACTGCATGAATTTAAGCGAGCTACTAGGCTGGCATCTCAGTTCCGCCCTCTCACTGTCGAAACGGTTAAATGTAACCGTTTCTTCTACTCCAACAGCTTCTTCTCTCGCACTTCTCATCTGTGGAATTCTCTTCTATTCTACTTGCTTCCCTGATAACTATAATCTTCAAATACTCAAGTGTAATGTCAACCGACATCTTCTGATACCTTGATCTTGTTCCCCATCCTTCTCTTTATCCTCTCCCCAAACATGCCTCTTTACTCTTGTTCTCTACTCTCTGTAACCCCTTGTGTACTAGTAGCACTCCCGCCTTGCTTGGGGTGAAATGCTTAAAAAACTCAGAAGTCGTAATATAATATAATTTACTAATAATTTACTTCTTAGAATGTACACTATACCAAAAATAATGTGGGAAAATCTGAATGGCCCTTTCACTACAGAATTAATAATTATCGGAATCTAGTCGGCTCCCCATGAAAGTTTATTACCCGTAGAACAAAATTTCCGCCTTGAAAAATATGGGTTAAAAGCCATGCAAAATTCACTATAATTGAAAGAATACAAATAGGCATAAAATACAAGCTAGAAGTCTTCCATGTTATAAAGTAAATTCAGGTTTGTATTTCCAGTAGACAGTATGTAAGCAAATATATGGATATAGATCCGACAGTATGAAGAAAAATATACAGAAAAAACAAACAAAAATCTTAATATGCAATTATGCTGTATTAATGCTAATATAAAGTCAACGTCGGGCGTTTCGGTCTATTTTAGACCATCTTCAGGACATTTTCATTAAACATAATTAACATTAGAACATATAAAATTCAACATGAAAAGACGATGGACACAAGAGCACAACTAATCCAAACAGATAACTGAAATTTTTATATATATATTTCAAGCTTGTACGAAAATATAAGAATCTATTGATCTCCACCTATTCCAGTAAGTAAGGAAAGGATTTATTAACGAACTGTTTAAAATTGTTCCATCGTGCCTGTCTAATATTTTGAAATCATTTTTGATTTGCTTTGTAACGTGGAGGACTTCAAGCTTGTATGAAGATATAAGAACCTAGTGATCTCTGCGTATTCCTATACCAACGGAAGGGATTTCTTGAACTGTTTATATGAGAAAATAGTTCAATCGAACTTGTTTAATATTTTAATATTTTGAAATCATCTTCGAATACGTTTTCACAACATCGCCCACGTGACGACGACGTGATCATATTTAAACGGAACGCTGATCTTATATAAAAATTTCAGTTATCTGTTTGGATTAGTTGTGCTCTTATGTCCATCGTCTTTTTCATGTTGAATTTTATATGTTCTAATGTTAATTATGTTTTATGAATATGTCCTGATGATGGTCTAAAATAGACCGAAACGTCCGACGTTGACTTTATATTAACATTAATACAGCATAATTGCATATTAAGATTTTTGTTTGTTTTTTCTGTATATTTTTCTTCATACTGTCGGATCCATATCCATATATTTGTTTGCATATATATATATATATATATATATATATATATATATATATATATAGATAGATAGATAGATAGATAGATAGATATAAAATGAGTGAGATAGATAGATATGAAGAGACTAAGATAGATATGAATATATAGATATATATGAAGAGACTTAAATATGAAGAGACTGAGATAGATAGATAGATAGATAGATAGATAGATATGAAAAGAGTGAGATGGATATGAATATTTAGATAGATATGAAGAGACTTAGATATGGAGAGACATAAGAGCACTAATCCAAACATCGTCTTTTCATGTTGAATTTTATATGTTCTAATGTTAATTATGTTTTATGAATATGTCCTGATGATGATCTAAAATAGACCGAAACGTCCGATGTTGACTTTATATTAACATTAATACAGCATAATTGCATATTAAGATTTTTGTTTGTTTTTTCTGTATATTTTTCTTCATACTGTCGGATCTATATCCATATATTTTCTTACATACTGTCTACTGGAAATACAAACCTGAATATGTATGTATGTATACTGTGAAAGAAACATATAATCGGAAATACTAATCATGAAATTTGGTATTTTTATTCTTGAAATTTTGTGAATAAAGATACAAACATTGGTAAACATTCCGAAATTCTTTTAAAAAAATTATATTCTCGAAGAAACGAGAGAAAATTATATTTTTGCTTATCAATTTTAGATTTATAGTTTTATTTTTGCAACTGAGTGCCCTCAAAGCAACCGTTATAATTTGGGATGCTAAACTAAAGGATCGTCAAGTAAAGTTTTTCAGACGTCACTAGTAAAAGGAGAGCGTTGAAGTATTGCAGATACTTGTTGTCACTTGGCCCTCATCGGTAGCCAGTAGATATTAGAGCAAAACGAGTAAATAATAATAATAATAATAATTTTGCCTTTTATATCCTGATAGTAAATCTATTGTCATCGCTGTAGCAAAGATGAGAGTGAATGTCAGTTTTCTTCGTCAATGTTTACATACGTTGCTTCTTTACAAAAGATTTTTAATCTCGGTGAATAATGCAAATTCTATTTGGCTTACAATTTCGCTTGTGCGTCGTGTTCGTTGGCTGCCAGGGCAGGTTTGTTGGTTGCCACTCACCCTACGCCCACCTCGTACTGCATGCTCCTAACGCCAAATCACATATTCAATGAACTTGTCGGGGACTGCCCCAAAGCCTCCGGGGCATGGCTTAATGTGTACCTTATTCTCCCTCTCGCTTAACTTATCCTCTCCCTTGTTTTATCTCGCCCTGGACTCGGACTGGCCAACCGGTCCCACATATTTTTTTAGATTTGTTTTATTCTTATTTTCTTGCTAATCAGTGTGTCACTTATGAAGTGTGGGTGAGAAAAACGTTTAAAAAAAAAACAACAACACCTAACAATAAACGTGTTAAAGACAAAGTTTAAGGAGAGGTTCGTACAGAAGAGAAGTTTGTTGACAGAATAGGGTGGGGAAAGGAAGCATGTCTGTAGCTGGTCTTTAGTAAATTACTTGAGACAATTGACGGGAAGGAGAGAAAAAATATGCTGTACCAGTACGGGAGATGCGAATACAAGCTGTAAGTGTTTACAAAATATTTTCCCGCCTCTTTTTATATTGCTGCTACTAATAAACGAAACATCTATAATGGATGCATCTTCACCCGCCCCACCCGCCCATCATTAGTCTTGACTTCTTCAAAAGATTTTCATCTTCAAATTCAGTAGCATCATTTCTGGACGTTCACGATGCGGACTTATTCGACGTTTCTTGGGTTCTTTCTTTCTTACTTTGCCGCCTCATATTTCTTTTTATCTTTCTTTGTTTCTTTGTTTCTTCGTTTTTTCCTTTCTAATAAGATTTTTATCGCCTTACCGTACGTTGTTACATCTTTCTTCATTTTATTCTACTAGA